GGGGTGGGGGCTGGGCCTTTGAGCAGCTCCCTGCCCCCCATCCCCTAATGGATGCCTGGCTGGTGGAGGAGAGAGGGCAGCTCAGGTTGCAGCCATTGTACCTGTCCAGGATAAATAAAGGCATTTCCCTCACCCTCCCTATCCCTACTACAGAGCAGGCCTGCAGGGGCTGCTGCCACCCTAGTGTGGCCTGGAGTCAGAGACACTATCAGGCCTGCCGGGGACAGGTACAGGCAGAGCAGTAGTTGCACCTGAAGCAGAGATGGGTCAGTTTCTTCCAGTCCTTTCTGGCTGTGGACCAGGCCACCTCTGTCCCACACATCACACAAGCCCCATCCGACCAGGTGAGGTGACATGGGAATGTCCCCAGGGCATGGGCCGCGGGACCTGCGGCAGAGGTTCTGGCTTGGATGCTGAATGCCATCTGATAGCCACTGTGAGGACCAGGTCTTGGCTGAGGTGGCAGCGTGCTCCTCCAGGGCATCTGGCTTGGCACCCCTTGTGGGGGAGTTCCTGGTACAGAAGCCTTTGTGATCCCAGGCAGGAAATGCCACCATACAAGGTGTCCCTAGGGCTGCCCAAGGCCATCTATCCATGACCCTCCAGTGGCATTTCCAAGGGACTTCAAATTCTGGGGAGGATTCCAGCATCCAGGCCACCCTTCTGCCCAGCCCAGGTGATTCAGGGCGTGTCCCAGAGGAAGCCCTGCCCCTACCCAGCCTGGGTTCTATTTCTGAAAGTCCCCCAGCCTCTGGCTGTGGCACTTCTTGACACACCCCCTCCCCAGTGGAGGATATTCTTTGCCATCTCGTTTAAAGTCTCTGTGCTGCCATTTAAGCCCTTGGCCACCCAGGGCCAGGTGGCACATAGGTCCCGGGTGAAGTCACTGGCTATCCTGGGTGCCAATGAGCCAGGATGGAGCCAAGTTGAGGCAGCGAGCCTTGAGGACAGTGGGGCGGGGGGACAAGGCACAGTCCCTGGTATGGCACTGAGGACCCGTGGGACTGTGTAGGAGACCTCACCTTGTGCAGGGAGGAGACCTGCTTAGGGACAGGGACTGTGCAGGGCCTGGGTGGGGGTGAGCACCAGGATCAAATGCCTGGATGTCATTGTGTCAGTGAGGGCACACAGGCTCCAGGTATCTTTCCCTCAGGGACCCTGTGGTCGCCGGGACACTAGGTCTGGAGATGCCAAGTTCCTGTTGAAGGATGGAAGGCAAAGCCAGCACCCGGATGGGGACTCTGTGGCCATTCCCTGGCTGCCTGAGACCTGAGGTTCTTTTCTTCTCACCTTCCCCAGCGCCCACAACAATTTCCAAAGCTAAGACCACCGTCCTCTGGGAACATTGGCCAACATCTCCTGGGCCTCCCCCACTGCCCACTGCAGCACTGTTCCTGGCCACACAAGTCTCTGCTGCTCTGGGGAAGAAACTATCCTCCATGGGGCAGCAACCTAGGCACCTGCCCACCCATGCCCTCCAGTGACAGCCTGGGTCTCACCTGCCATTGCCTGCCCCATCAGCACTGTCCATGGCTCAGACACCAGGTGAGGGGTGGTCCCTGTCCTCACTTCACTGTGCCCCCTGACCTTGGGAACTTTATCTGACTGGTAGTGACTGGGCACCTGCTGCATTCTAGGCAGTGGCCAGGTGCTGGGACTGTAGCAATATCAAACCCCAGCTCCTCTTCCTTTGTCTCAGGAAAGGCTGGCTCTGGCCCCTCTGGGTGTCCATGCATCCAGCAACAGAAGAAGCCCTCCCAACCCCTGATGATCTGTGTCACCCACCAGACTCTTCCCATCAGACACAAGAGGATACAGGGGCTGCTGGCCCACACTGGCATGCGGGGAACGACCTGAGACAGACGGGGGAGCCAGGAGCCCAAGTCAGAGAAGGTGGGAGGCCCAGCTCCATGAGCTGGCCACGGCGGGACCCTGGTGAGTCCAGGGCTTCAGGGAGAGGAGGGCCAGGTGTGGGAGCCCCGTCACCAGTCCAGCCCAACCCCACCAGAACAGCAGGGCTGCAGTCTGTCTGCTCATCCGTCCATCTGCCCATTATCTTCCCTGTCTGTACCAGGAAGGATACTTTCCCAGAGCACCTCTTGCAGAGGAGGGGCTCTAATTTTCAGCAGCCTGAGCCCGCCCTGCCAGGAGCAGGCTTAAGAGGGCGCTGCCCTGTCTGTCCTCTTGCCCACCTACTCTGCAAGCTCAGCATTTCCCGCTCAGCTCAAAACACCCAGCCCCTGTCCCCATGCCTTGCCCTTGTGAGCTAACCCAAGCACATAGGTCTGGGGGGCAAACTCCAGCCATAGGCAAGACCAGGCTAACAGTCCAGTCCCACCCCTCAGACTGGTGTGTGTGTGTGTGTGTGTGTGTGTGTGTGTACGCATCCTCTCCAGGAGTCCCAGCAGGACGGACATAGGGACAGACACACCCACACGACCTCTTCAAGCAACCCCTCCCCCAGGGGTGCAGGCTCTGGCTGTAGCACACTCACCCGAGAGATGGTGAGAGGCATGTTGAAGTCCTTGCCTCCTTGCAGACGGAAACCCCAGGGCCCAGGCCCTGTCAGGGTTACACTGTAAGACATGCTGGTGGTGACAGTGGCCGCCTCTGGGGACAGAGGGTTGGGAGAGTCAGGATGCGCACATACCCACCACCCCAGCCCACTCCTGCTGCTGCTCCTGGCCCCCGGCCCCCAGCCTTGCCTGCTGTGTTCCTTACTCTCTGCCTGGGCTGTGTGGAGCAGCTCAGAGGCTCCTAAGAATAGCAGGACCAAATGCCATCGACACAGATATCTGCCCTTGCTGCGCCCATAAATGGACTGTAACCTTACACTGTGCCCGCCTGGCCAGCCACTGTGACTCACTCGGCTAATATAGCCCCTGGGGAGGGGTGTCCGGCACCAGGCAGGAAGGGAGGCCTCCTCAGGTAACGATAATGCTCTGGCCTCCCTCTGCTCTCTGCAGAGCCCCAACACCCCAACATCCTGCTCTGAGTCCCTTTGGGCAGGGTCTTGCTGTCCTGTGCACTCTGGCCTGAGCTGAGTATTGTCCAGTGTGGGACCTTTTCAGTGCCTCAGATTGAGCTCAGCCTCCAGTAGGTCTAGAAAATATTTCAGCTCAGAAGACTGGTAATCCACCCCTGGTTGTTCAGCCATAAAAATGATCACGTTCATTCTGGAAGGCTGAGACAGGAGGATCACAAGTTTAAGCCCAGCCTGGGCAATGTAGCAAGAGCCTGCCTCAAAATTAAAAAATAATATGGACCTGGCATAGTGGCTTATTAATTCTAGCACTTGGGAGGCTGAGGCAGGAGGATTACCGAGAGTTCAAGGCCAGCCTGGGGTATATAGTGAGTTAAAGGTCAGCCTGAACTACATAGTAAGGCCTGCTTCAAAACACACACACATACACACACACAGGCTGGGGATATGGCTCAGAGTTAGAGCTCTTACCTAGCAGGTAGGAGGCCTGGATTCAATCTCCAGGGCTAAATAAACAAGTGGACTCCAGATGTTACTCATACACAGGTCCTGGGTTCAAACCCCAATATGGACAAAAAAAAAAATCACATCACAACAGTACCTCTGGGAATGGTTTAGCTCAGCATGGGAGCTTTGACACTACAATCTCTTGGTCCAGAGAGGCTGATACCCTGGCTTGTAGGAGTCAGGGCTCAGAGAGATTCAGTGGCTCCTACAAGGTCACCCTGGAGCCTGGGTCCTTCCGGTGGGACTCCTGACAAAGGATGGGGTCCCAGTGGCTGCAGGGCCTTGCGGAACTCTGGCTCAGGGAATAGGGCTCCCCCACATACCCAGGTGCAGGATCTAAAGGCAGGTCCAGGGCACTCCCACCCCTGAACCCCTGGGGCCTGGCTGGTTATTCCTGGCTCTTCTGTCTCATTTGTGCCCTGGAAAACTTGACAGTAGCATGGAAAGCTGCAGCTGCCAGCATGCATGCCAGGCCCTGTGCCCTTTGCACAGGAATGGAGGGGTAGGGGAGGGAAGAGTGGCTATTTGTCTAGCTGCGGGGGCACAGCATGGAGAGGAAGCATGAGCAGCATGCCCAGCCCACCACCCCTCAGTACTCCTGCCAGTGCGGGCTGTGGATCAAGGTGCCCCATGAGAGACCACGGGCGCATGGGGTCTGGACTGAGATCAAGGTGCAGGCTGTCTCCTGGGCTGGGGAAACTGGGGTTCAGGGAAGCTGAGTAGGCTCTGGCCGGATCCCAGCCTCATGCAGGGCCTGGCACATACGACGTACATGTAGAATGCCTGAGCTACTGGGCTGCTTGGTCATTTGCCCAAGGTCACAAAAATAGCAAATGGATGAAGCCAGGCAAGGACCTATGTTCTTTCCCTCAAGCCACGTCACCACCTCCTCTACTTTGTGTCACGCAGCCCCACCTGTCCCAGCATCCTATTCTTTTCTCATCCCTTGCCCTGTGCCCCCCAAAGCCCTATGCCACCTGTCCCTAACTCTCCACATCTCCACCCTGCCTGTCTGGGGAGCAGTGTGACCACTGCCAGGACAGTCGGCCTGCTGGGTTGCTGATAAAGGCTGTCGCTGTCACTGGAACCCCGAGCCACAGGCTCATCTTTGGCCTCCAGGGAATGGCAGGGGTGGCCTGGATGCTCTTACAGGCAAAGGCCAGCCTCCCTCCATCTGCCTCCCCTTGAGGAAGCCCAAGCCAGCTGGAGAGCAGCTCAGAGCTCCCTAGGGAGTAAGGCTGGGCCATCTCTGGTCCCCACCACCACCACTCTGCATCCTCAGAGTTGGTGATGGGCTTTCAGGAGAGCAAATCCCAGGGCAGGAACATGGGAGAGGAGGACAGATGCTATTGCAGGGACTGAGGCCAGGTCAGGCTCCCTTTCCTTCTCAGCCCCACAGATCAAAACCACGTTTGGCAGAAAGCATCTCTACTTTTTTATTTCCTACCCTTGTCACAGCCACCCAGCTCTAGGTGAACCCGGACCACGGATGTGACACAGACCACGGGGCTCAGTGTACATGCAAATTGGTACCTACAGTGCTCTGTGCATGCAAACGTGGGCCACCTGGGGATGGCTTGGTGGGGCTCGGGATGGGGAGGCTGTGTCTGGTGGGAGGGGCAGCGCTGTCCCCACCCCAGGACCCTGAAATGCCTAGTCTGGCCAGATGCACGGCTTGTACACAGCAGTGTGTTGGACCGGGGATTTAGCTCAGTGGTTCCACAGCCTGCCTCTTCCCGAGTTCGATCCCTGGTACCAAAGAAAAACAAACAAACAAACAAACAGCAGTGTGTTCCTGGAGCCATCGTTTGTAGAAGTGGCAGCTGCTGGCAGCAGAGAGCTGCAGAGCTAGGACATAAGAGTGCAGGCCACACAGGCAGGACTTCCATGGTGTGAAGCAGGACACAGGGCTGGGGCTATGACTCCAGCGCAGCAGCATAGGTGACAAAGCCTGCAGGCTGGCAGAGCTAGGTGAATCCCAGATGGGAGGGAGGGCCGGCTGGCTTCCTACATCTGGGGATCCAGGCTGGGGAGCTGCCCCTTCATCTGAAAACGAACGACACACATCTGGTCATCCAGGAGTACATGGTCCCCTTTGACCCTTGGTGTTTGGGTCACAGAGACACGAGTGGAGGCTATACAAAGGGCCAGGGTGCTGCAGGATGGCTAGGGCCTTCTTGGGAACTGCATCTCAAAGGAGTCCGAGCCTGATGTCCCCAGGCTCCTGCCCATGGCCACCTGCCAGCCATCTCTCCTCTTGCTCCTCCCACACTGTGCGGGCTCCAGTGTCCTGTCTCACTGCCCTGCCAAGCCTCTCCTTGTCCCCCCTGTGCCATCAGTTTCCTTGGCAGCTGCTCCCTGCAAGCTCACTCTGCTCAACAACCCCTGCCCAGACACCATGGATGGACCCAGCCGTGCCACAAGCTGACCTGGCCCTAGGATGGGCACTGTGACATCTATCATTGTCTACCAGGGTTCACAGCTTGGGGTCGCTGCCAGGCTTCTGCCTTGGCTGCCCTGGCTGTGCACAGAGCCCAGACCCCAGGATCGGGAGTGGTGCTGGGGCCAGGAATGCTGGGGGCAACAGGCACTGCAGCCCAGAACTCCTCCTTAGTGGACACCCAGGAAGCAGCCAGGTCTGGAAGGCAGGATGCAGCTGTGGCCCTGGCTGGATGGGGAAGCCCCAGGGTGCCGAGTGCCAGCCTGGGGTGTTGTGCGGGGCTGAGAGAGAACAGGGGAAAGCTGTCGACAGGGTGGGAGTCCGGGCCCTGGGCACATGGCATTTCCAGCATTCCAGAGCTCGGCTTCTTTAATTACCATTGACATTCCGTTCCATAGGCACTTGGGCCGACAGCTGGCCTTCTTTTAATAGCCACAAGTGTTCTGGTGAATCCTGCTCTCAGGGTGTCCACAGCCCACAGGCCCTCCCCTAGAGTCGTCCAGCCCTGAGGTCACATAGAGAGGGGCACAGAGTCCAAACACAGCCACAGGGTGGACGCTTGGGACACAATTTGTCCTGTGTCCTGGGGCATCACAGTGACAGAAGACGTGTGCCAGACATATGGTTACACATAAACATAAGATATATTCTGTGGCTTTAGAGCACAAATCTTCATGAACAGACTCCTATATGCATGCTGTGCATCTGTCCAGGCGCAGAGTGCCAGCACACTCAGTCACACGAGGACACACCCAAGAACAGTCCCAGCCACCCCAGGAAGGGGAGGGGAAAACTGGGAGACGCAAGGACCCAGTGATTCCCAGAGACCCTCAGTCCCACCCACCAGAACAATCCCCTACTAGCCCCTGTTCCCGCCCCTTTTCAAATCGGCAAGTGTCCAGCCCAATCGCCTTTCTAGGAACCTCAGCTTCCCATTCCCGGGCCCTGGGAGTGGCCCTGGCTTCCCAGTCCTCCAGGCCTGGACCACAAGGGAACTTTCCACTTGCTTGCTGGGCAGACCCCCATGCCTCGGTGTCTGTCCAGCCCTGGGGAGGCAGGAGAGCTTTGTGAGGTGAGAGCCTGTGGTACCGCCCCCCCGCATTCTCAGCCCCAGTGCAGGCCCTTTTCTGGCCTCGCACAGCGTTCAGGTGATTGTGGTCATGAAATCCCAGCAACAGATACCTACCAGGGCCCGACTGTGTGTGTGTGTGTGTGTGTGTGTGTGTGTGTGTGCGTGTGTGTGTATTTGTGTGTGTGCACGTGGGTGTTTAGGTTTGGGGTAGAGCAGCGGTCTGGAGAATCTAAGTTCTATTAGCAGATGAGAGGAAGGAGACCACTGTTTAGGCCGTCTACAGTGGCTTTGTTGAGGGCCACAGAAGACGCCATAGGCTGGAGGAGGAGGAGTCCTATTGTGGCCAGGACAGGAGCCAGGGTGCAGAGACCACTCCTACAGACATTTGGGGCCACAGCTCTAGGCCATGGGATGCTGAGGGCTCCCAGGGCTGACACCAACTTTGGGGGCCACAGAGGCCTGGGCTCAGGAGGTTATGCTGGGTAGGCTGGAACCCTTCTCTCCTGTAGCCTGCTCTCCATGGTTCCTAGGGGGCAGGGGCTTCGTCCTAAGGACCACAGGGCCTGTGCTGGATCTTACCTCATCTCTGGATGCCCATCTGGGGCTAGAAATGCTAAGCTTTTTCATCTGTGCCTCTGAGGACTGTGTTGGCACAGAAACAAGCTCTTTTTTCTTTTCTTTTTTTTTTTTTGGTACTGGGGATCGAACTTGGGGACCTTGCACTTTCAAGGCGCTGTGACACCACTGAGCTAAATCCGTGCCCCGTGTTGGCACAGAGAAAGGTGACCTAGAGCTGGAAGACCTAAACTCAGATTGGACCCACTGGAAGTTGGAGGAGGACACAGAAGTTGGAGGGGCCAAGGGATCTCCAGTCCCAGTGGCAGCTCCACCAGGGCCCGGGGCAGGCTAAGGATGGAGCAGCCAGGGGCCAGTTGGTGTGTAGCCAGTGTGCTTACCATGTCACTCTCAGAGCCCAGGGATTCCTGGCGCCTGTGTCCTGAGATCCAGCTGAGGTTGGAGGCCTGGCTGCTCAGCCTGGAGTGCTGTGTGGAGTGGTAGCTGAGGGAGGGCCGGCTTCGCTGGCCAGACACACCCAGCAGCATGCCCAGGCAGGGCAGGTGTTGCACAATGGCCATCCTGCAGGGCCACACACCTGATTATGGCCAAGGGACAGACAGCCACATGGACCCCAGAAGAAGCAGGCTGGTGGGCTTTCAGGGTTGCTGGGGTAGAGATAAAGCTCAGTAGTGGGAGTGGCTGGAAAGTCTTGGGGTGGCAGGGTTAGGTAGGTGAAAGGGGGCCAAGGACACCCCTGAGTGCTCTGAGCCGGACCTGCTGAGTCTGTCAGCTGGCTTTGAGAAGGTGGTGAGTGACAGATGCCATCAGGCCAAAGAGTCCCCACGGAAGAGGCACCTGCTGGGATTCTTATCAGCCAAGCATGCATTGGCCACAGAGGTCCTGGACCTACCAGGGCCCTCAAGGCTAGGTCCTGTGTCCCTGCTGAGTCTCTCCAGGATATCACAGTCTGAGGAGTTGTCTTTGCAGGGAGGAGTGGCTGATCAGGGACCTTGGCTGCCTTGTAACTCATCTCAAAGACCCTGTAGTCAGGATCAGACTCTGCTGGAAGCCCTGGTATCCCTGCAAATGAGCCACGCCCAGCCCAGACCCCACTGCAGGGTGTCACTGCTCCCACCAACTGACCCAAGAGACCGACAGATATGAGCCTTGCCCCCACCTGCAGCCCCACTGGTCTCAGGGTGGGTCCCCAGAGGTCTGGAGGTGGCCGCACCTGTACTTGGGGTGGGTGATGGCATAAATGATGGGGTTGTGGATGGCAGAGGCCTTGGCGATGACAGCTGGCACTGAGTTCATATAGGGTGTCAGGACGTGTGCATACCTAGGACAGAGGAGGCACAGAGTACCCATCCTTTGCAGTACCCAAACTGTACCCCAGCCCAGCCCTACAGCCCAGTGAGCCCCTGGCCTGCCAGGAAAGATTCTGGGCTGAGGCAGGGGGAAGGAAGCTGGGGGTGGTTGAGGGTGGGGCTCTGGGAAGAAGACTTCAGGTTTAGACAGGGTCTCATGGTCCCACTGTCACCCTGGGTGCCCCTGTTGACCTCAGACCCTCTGTACAGCTCTTCCTAAGCACCACCCTGCCCAAATGCCCACTACTCCCTGGTTGCCTTAGAGAAACCTGGTCCAGGCCATTCCTAGACAAGAAGGTTGGTGCCCAAACACGGGCAAGGTTTTATGGCTCTTGCAAAGTGCTTCTGAAGTCTAGCCTGTGCCCACACTGCTGCAGATGACAAAGTTCCCAGGTCTCACCACAGAGGGCACCTCTTCAGGACCCATTCCTGGATGAGCAGTGCCCCTCCTGCGTGCCACAGCCAAGGCAAGGAGACTGGAACCTCAAGGACAGTTGCATGTCCCCAAGGAGCCTGGATCTGGGATGGCCCAGAACATCCCTAGCATGTGTCCTGGAGCCTCCATGAGTCAGCTCCCACCCCAGCCTCATATCACCGGCTCACCCTGCAAAGGCCACCAGGGCCACAGTGGAGTAGGGCGCCCAGGAGAGGACGAACAGGAGGATGACCAGCAGTGCGATCTTGGCCATCTTCCACTCACTGCGCAGCTGCTGCCGCTGCCGCCGCTGCCATGGGGACTCCGCACAGGTCTCGAAGGCCCTAGGACATGTGAGGTCTGGGTCAGACCCCTCTCGGGTTGCAGTGAGGCCTCGGGGACTGTCCCTGGGGACACTCCGAAGGAGGCATCCTTTCTGGAACAGAGCCTTGCTGGGGCTTTACCCGGGTGCCTTTCTGTCCCCTCACCACACCTAAACCTAAGAGGTGCCAGCTGCTCAGTGCATCCTGAAGCCTAGAGCACCCAGTGGGTGGCAGCCCTCTCCCACCACAGGACGCTCACCGGCCTGTCTCCCGGATGGCCCTGAAGATGAAGACGTAGCAGTAGATGATAATGAGCAGCGGCAGGAAGAACACGAAGCAGAAAAGCAGCATGGTGTAGGAGCGCACGGAGGGCGTGAAGGTCACGTAGTCCCAGGAGCAGGATGTCAGCAGCCCCTCCGGCACATAGGCGCCTGGACCAGGAAGGGCACTTAGCCTTCGCACAGCCCTGCCCAGGGCTCCTGGTCCTGTGGGGGTTTTGTGGGGGGCTGGGGGCTCCCACATACAGTGCTGGCCCAGCCCCTGCCAAGCCCTGACCCATGTAAGCTGGTCATGCCATGTACCTGTCACCTCAGCCCACCTCAGCAGCCCTGCATTGGGGCACAGGCTGCCCAGGTGACCCTGACCCCTAATGGAGCACCTTACTTTTCCTGCTGCTAATAGTGCTCCTGTAAATGTCCACTTGAGGCTCAGGTACCCCCTTGGCCCCTAGCCCTGCCAGCTGGCCCAGCCCAACTTCACCTACTGCTCCTCCCCCAATGCCACTTACTCCAGCCAAAGAAGGGTGGCAGACTCCAGGCCAGGGCATAGAGCCAGATGCCCAGCAGGACAAGCGCTGCCTGCCTCTTGGATGCCAACCCAATGGTGACCAGTGGGCGTGTGATCACCAGGTAGCGGTCCAGGGCGATGGCCATCAGGGTAATCATGGAGGTGATGCCAAAGAGAGCCCCACAGAAGGCATAGAACTCGCAGCCTGTGGGGAGAGCCCTACCTGAGCCCTTGGAGTGGAGCGCATAAAGGGCCCAAGGGCAAGCAGGGTCTCGGTTGGGATGGGGGCGCCTCCTTCCCTGACTCTTGGGAGAACAGGCCTGAGCCCTCCACACCCCATCTACACCACATCTGGGTGAGGCTGCAGAGGCCTCAGGACCAAACCCAGTCTTCCCTCCTCCCTCACTCATTCCTGAAGGATGGCACCACTCACTCTGTGCCCAGGAAAAGCAGTGGCCTCGTCTGGGCCACCCTATGCTGAGGGATCCCTGCCAAGCCCATCTTCCTCCCTCCAGGAGGAGGGATCTCATGTGCCTACCTGCCTCCCCAAACAGCCATCGCTTATAGAGGCTGCTGGTGAAGAAGACGGGAGCCTGGGTGAAGCACATGAGGAAGTCACTGACCGCAAGGTTGATAATAAACATGTTGGCTGGGGTTTGCAGGCCTCTGCTCCTGTGAGGGTCCAAGAACAGTCAGGGGTGCTTCCTGACACCTCAATACACACGCATCCACACGCACATGCCATGCACTCACACATGCATGCACACAAGCTTTGCACACGCCACATGCCTGCACGTGAATGAGCATACACACCTGTGCACGCGGGCAGGAAGAGGGCTGCTAGACCACCTGTGCCTCTGTCCAGCAGGTGCTCCCCAGGCAGCAGCTAGCCCCAGTAGTGCCAGCTCAGGGGCACCCCAAAGTGGTTCCCCCGGGACAAAGCAGGGTACAATGTCTCTCCAAATGATCTCTCCAGCCACAGCCCCCAGGGATTCCCCTGTCCCCCTCCTTCCAGGCTTCCACCTGGCCTAGCCTCGTCCAGGACAGCTGTCTCTGTGGCCCTCATTCTGGTGGTGAAAAAGGGTGGAGGAGCTGACATCTGTGACCACAAGTAGCCACCTTCACAAAGCTCATCTCTTGTCCCCATTCCTCTCTGGGTCTCCCCTGACAGAGACATTGCTATTCATATTTTCCAGATGAGGGTACAGAGGGCCTCACTCATGAAATGACTTGCTCTGGTCATAAAGTCCATAAAGCTCAGCCAGGATCCAAACCTTCCCCTGCTGGGCAAAGTACATACAGGACCTTAGGAATTGACACTCAACTCACTGAGGAGAACACAGCTCCATTTGCAGGTGAGCAGCATGAAATTGAAGAGGACAGAGCTGCTAGGTGATGGCAGAGCCAAGGGGGTTCCCCACAGGCTGGGCTTACAGTACTACCTGCCTATTTCAGCCATCAGCGCCAACAGAGGAGGTGAGGCGGGAACTCACAGGATTTCGGGGACTTAAGACTCAGGAGCCCAGTGCTGCTCTTCAAGGTGGAAGGAGGATGCTTGTTGGGGCAGAGACCCGAGGGTCCCCATAGTTCCTGGCCTCCAGAGAGCATGCGCCATCCGAGCTTCCTGGGAACACCCTTGCACTCGAGGGTGGAGCCTGGGCCTGAGACCACAGCAGGATTGGCGCTGCCTCCCCACTCAGCCCCTACAGTCCCGTATCCCACCCAACCCCAGCACCTCTCTGCACTTCTCTTCACCCTCAGCACCTGCAGAAGGTATAGATGACCGTCAGGTTGCCCAGCATCCCTGTGAGTCCCACCAGCAGGATCACCGCGCCCAGGGTGTAGTGCGCATGCGCTGGAACATCCGCTGTGGGGAAGGGAACACGGACCACAGCCTGAGTCCCTGCTGCCTGCAGAGAGAGAGAAGCAGGGCAGCACCTCCTTATCACCTTCCGGTGTTCCTGAAAAGGAAGGTTTAGGGCTCCCAGAGGCCCAGGTGGGGAGACTGAGGCACGAATGTTAAAGCCACTTGCCCACCCAGCCATCTGGTGACCGAGTGGGATGAAAATGTATGTCTTCCAAAAGTCCAAGTGTCTTTACAAGATACGGTATATATATATGGTGAATGCCACTGCCGTGTGCCGTCTAACAGAAAGGTAGATTTGTAAGCACATGATGAGGTGTCCTCATCCACCTTATTTGCTGGATCTGGCACTGTACCACTTCTGGCTCTTCCCCAGAGTCAAAATAACCATGAAAAGGTCAATGTTTTGAATAGATTCAGGACACTCAGGCAGCGCTGTGACAGCACAACTAAAGACACTCAGGAAAGAGGACTTCCTGACCTGCTTCAGAATGTGGCTAGAACAATGGAAAGAGTATGTTCAAAGCCAGGGAGAGGATTTTGAGAGGGACTCGTGGCAGTGTGGCTTTTATTGTAATAATTATTTTTCTGGTACTGGGGATCAAACTCAGGGCCTTGTGCTTGTGAGGCAGTGTGTTGCCACTGAGCAGAATCCCTGGCCCCCATTGTAACAATTTTTAATTTAATTGCACACTGTAGTGTTTGGTCATACCTCGTGGCCTTCCACAGACAGCACAGGGAAAGCATTGCCCTGTGAGGTTAGTGCCAAGAGATTAAAGATTTCTCCCACCCAGCCCCTTGCCTGGGAAGGGCGTGATTTGGTCTCTGTCCTGCCCAGCAACCCACTCTGACAGAGCCGTGGGCATGCTTCCTAGAAGGTATCAAGGCCAGGGCGGCTGCCTCTGTTTCCATCTGGGGATGGCCCAAGATCGCATCATAGATCTCAGGCCTTTTCTGTCACACGTCAGAGTAGCAGGGACAAGAAGTAGAAAGGAGGGGTCTGTACCACACTCCCCCAACCTTACCGTGGGGCTGCCTGGCAGAAGCTGGCCCATCATGGAGAGGCTACTTGGGGTGCCATCCCCCTTGCCAGGTGCTGACAGGTTAGCCAAGAAGCTGGGCTCCTGGGATGGGCCTGGAGAGACTTGTGGCCCTGACGGAGTGTCCATTCTGAAGCGGGTGGTCCTTGCTCACAAATATGAGGACGTCAAGGGTGTGAGAGACTCAGGACTTCAGCTTTCCAGCTCCGCAGCTCTCTCTCCTCCATCCTCAGCACCGAATGCCAGCTCCTGCATCCTGCGCAGACACAGCTGCAGTGGTACTTGGGGCCAGTGTCCACTCAGTGTCTGGCCAAGCGTGAAGGTAAGCATGTCACAGTCAGGGCCCTCCTCAGCCCAGTGCCGCCCACCTTTAAATAGTGGTGCTGAGGGCTGCACATGCGCAGTCCTGCCTTGCTGCTGGCTCCACAGACACAGGTCCCTGGGGGTCCATGGATGGCAACAGAACTGTGTGTGCACATGAGAGAGTGAGAGAGTGAGCACGCACATGTGTGCATGTGTGTTGTGTTGCAGGGATGTGGCTGAGCCCAGGTTCTGGACATCAGACGGAGGATTTTGTCCTCCTTCTGACAGAGTTGCCCAAGCTGGGCCCTGGCTTCCCTGAGCTCATCAAGAGGAGCCCCCATGCTGGGCAGGAGAATTTCTTTGAGTTCAAGGCCAGCAAGGGCTACACAGGGCACTGTGGGTCCCTAAGCAGCACCTCTAAGAGAGGCCCAAGGAAGGGGCATCCCATCCATGCCTGGACTTTGGAGCCTGACCCCAGCAGCCCTCTCGAGTGACAGGGATAAACTACCCTCCATGCTCCTACCCACTGGGGATGTCACTCATAAGCCCATGCACCCCACATCTGTGCGGCAATCCCCCACCCAAGCCTGCCATCCCATTGGAGCAGCACTGCCATGTGGCAGCCTCATCCTCCAGCTGTCCCCGATGGCCACGCCCCCAGGCTGTCCTGGCTATGTACCACGTCTGAGTCCAAGGAGGGCTCAAGCCTGCATTAGAGAAGTTTGCTTTCATTGTCATGAGCTTGGTGACCAGCAAGGGGCCCCAGGAAGGAGTGGTCTTTGTTCTTGAGGATCACAGAATAGAAAAGTATCTGGTGACTGGAGATTAGCACCAGGTGTGTGTGACCGGGCCCACCTGCTAGTGTGGGAACTCCTACATACCAGGCCTCCCTTTTCTTGAGCTGTTTTGTTTTTTACCCTCAGCACTGGAGACAGAACTCAGGGGTGCTTTACTACTTAGCTATATTCCCAGTTCTTTTTTAATATTTTGAGTCAAGGTCTCCCTAAGTTGCCAAAGCTGCGCACTGGAACTTGTTATCTTCCTGCCTCAGCCTCCCAGACTGCTGGAATTATAGGCATGCACCACCATGCCGGACCAACTGCTTCCCCTGCTCCCCCTCTAACGGTGCACGGCACAGCCTTGGTTGGGGATGATGAGCACCAAGTTCAGGCTCCCGGCTGTCCAGGTGCAGCTGGCAGCCCCTGAAGACAAAGACACGCTATCAGAGCCGTGGGGGAGCAGAGAGGAACAGGTCACCCAGCCTGGGCTCGGGTGCTGCTCCTAAAACCTCCCCATTCCCAGCTGAGCCTCAGCTCCCAGTGCACCTTCTCAAGGTCACTACGGGCGCCATTCTAGGCCCCCACTCACGTCCTCCTCCCCACCTGTAGGAGTGTACACCAGTGGTGTCATCGATGGTGATCTCCCACGATTATGCCCATCTCCCTCTCTGGCTGCAGATGGGTCTGTCTGGCCACCTGTGTGAACCCGGTCTGGCAGAGTGCCTGGCACACTGCATGGGGAAAATCAACACCTCTGCCAGACATGGTGGTGCAGCACTCGGGAAGCTGGGCAGGGGATGGTTGAGAGTTTCAGACCAGCTTGGGCTACACAGTGAGTGCAATCCCAGCCTGGACTACATAGTGAGACACTAAAAACAAATTTTTTTAAATCAACCCCTCCCCGGTCCCTGCTTCTTAAAGTGTGGTCTAAAGAGCGGCCACTTCTGTTTCACTTGTAGCTTGTGGGAAATGCAGCCTTCCACCAAGCTCAGGTTGCTGATTCCCCCAGTTGGGACTCTTCCCAGGACTTCAAGGGATGGTGACAATGGTGGAAGGGAGACTGAGGCTGCCCAGAGATCAGCGACATCAGGATGCACTGTGACACTGGAGGCCGGAAAGGCTACAGGAGGAAGGAGGCTCTGGGTGCCAGGGGCTGGGGCTGTGCAGCAAGGTGTGGCAGGGAGGGCGCTTATAAGCAGGGGTGCAGACCTCAGACCCCTCGGCCTCCTGCTATGCAGGAGCCAGGTTAGGCTGGAGAGGTGTGGCTCCATGGGCCCAGCCTGTTTAGCCAGTAAACTGTGGAGTTGCCCCCCAGGGGTGCTCTCACCCCTTGATCACCCTGCCCCAGCCGTAGGTGACTCCTTTGGGAGTGGCTCCCTGCCTCGCTGAGCCGCGTGGTGCCCTAGATCAGCCCAGCCATGGCATCAGGAGTGATCACACTTGTCCCTGTCTCCACCCACAGCTGCCATACCAGGGAGACCAGGGCTGAGTGTACACAGTGGTGCTGGCTGGCCAGGGCCATAGCTCAGTGTTATTCACACTTCAGAGGCACAGCTGGAGGTGGCAAAAGCTTTCCAGACCGCCCATCCTCAGGGACACTGGCAGCCTCACTTGTGCCACTTAGCGCTTGACCCAGGCAGGAGTTAGGGGCAGCCCAGCTGTGGCCTGCTTCAGGGACTGAAGTGAAGCAGCCCCCATGAACACTGCCAACAGGGTGCCCCCAGTGTTGATTCGCAGACCTTCTAAGTCCCAGAATTCTCAAAGGCCTAAAAGTCCTCGAAAAAAAGCCAGCAGATAGCTGAGTTTGGTGGCACCTGCCTATAATGCCAAGATTCCAGCGGCTGTGGCAAGAGGATCACTTGGAGTCTGAGGCCAACCTGGGCTACATAGTGAGTTCTAGACCAGTCTGAACTACATACCCTGTCTCAAAATAAATAAACAAACAAATAAATCAGGAGGGTAGCAGGATCCTGGCTCCTGCCAATCTGTATTTCTGGCCATGCTGACCAGCATCCCATGAGCCCCCAGCCCAGCCAAGGGCACTATAGTGTCAGTCTCATGCCACCCATCTACTGCCATCACCTTCCTTGTCCTGACACTGACAGAGATCTCTCTGCTCCCCAGAGGTCCCTGAAACTCCCAGGAGCTATGGCCAGAGGTATTAAATGTCCTAATGGACACTCAGCCAGTAGGCACCACCAGCCTCACTTACCTGGGCTCCAGCAAAGCCAGCAGGATGGGGCCTTCCTGCCCAGATAGAAACAGAAGATCCTGTGGCCACCTCTGCCCATCCTTGCTGTGCCCTGCGCTGGCCCAGGACACCTCTTGCAACCCCACCTGGGTCAGCCTGCCCTCAGGAGCCAGCTAAGCACCCTGGGGGTCTCTAGTACCCCAGGCATCACAGTCCTTTTCATAGTCCCTGTGCCCCCTACCAGAGGGGGCAGGGGAGAACAGTGGTGGCTCCCATAAGGGGTGGAGAATATCACAGAGTCTGACCTCCTGAGGGTGTCCACATTCCTGGCCTAGGTATTATTCCTGGGTGCTCACGTCTGTTCCCTGAGCTGGCCCTGCCCAGTCTGCCTGTTATTTCAGGAATCCAGTCTGGGGCACTCCTGTGTCATTCCCTCTGAGCACCACACATTCACTGAATTCCTGCAGTTAGGTGCCACACCTCAGGCTGGCATCAGACACAGTGGCCGCCTACCACAAGCTAGTTTGATGCCTACCATGAGCTAGTTTGATGGACAATGAGGAAGGGTGACCTCAGGGTACTGCCTCGGGAAGCAGCCCATCTGTGCCTTAGCAGTAGGCCTCTGAGGAGGGCATCAAGTGACAGAGAAATGAAAAAAGGAACCAGGAAACAGAGAATCAAGGGAAAGCATAGGTAACCTAAAGAACACACTTTGTTTGAAAACTGACCACACACCCAGGAAGAGTGTATGGGTGTAGAAAACCCAGGCACACCCAGCCAGTCACCTACCCAAAGTATGGCTTGCCACCCAAGTGAAGTTCATTCTTTAGGTCTGGCATGTTCTTTCTTACACGGAGCACTCTGGGGTATGCAGAGAGCTTGCTGTGTGTGGGGTGTTATGCTTTCTATCTAAATGCTTCCTCAAGCCACATGTACTCAGAGGTGGCTTTGTGGAGGTGATTGGACTATGGGGGCTGGATCTGTAGCTGGTTTGCTAAGAGGCCAGGCCAGGCTGGAAATGGGTCACTGGGGACGTGGCCAGATCGCTGGGGGTGTAGCCTGGTCACAGGGGGTGTTGTGTGGGTGGTTTATCTTCCTGATTCTCCCCCTCTCTCTGCTTCATGCTGGCCATGACTGTGAACAGCTCTCTTCTGCCTTGTCCCTCTGCCAGCTGTTCTGTCTTGGAGCCAGCCAATTATGGACGGAAACCTGAGCCAGAATAAACCTCGCCTCCTCTTCAAGTTGTAGGTGTCGAATATTTGTTCTTAATGACAAGGAAAGTGACTAAGTGGTTTGTGTCTAGATGTCCCCTCAAAGCCTCATGTAGTCTTTTCAGAGGGCTTTTTGAGAGGTGGCTGAAAGAGTGTGTGATGCTGGGATTAAGGGTATGTGGTTACTAAACCACTACATTGATTGGTTTGGCACTGCCCTAATCCCGGTAGTGAGATAAAAGTGGCAGAAAGACTACGTTAAGCTTCCCCTGTTGCTTTTGCCACCGTGTGTGGGCACCACACACTGTTTCTCCTCCAAGATGCCCCTCTACCATGTGCCACTCTGCCTTGGAGCCAGCCAATTATGGACTGAAACCTCTACAAACTGTGAGCTAAGTCAACCTTTCCTCTCTTAACTTTGGGTGTTGGATATTTTCTCTCAGCAACGAGAGAAAAGTAACTAAGACACAGGGGTTGTCTAATTTCGTGATTCCACGCTGGAACAGCAGGAGAAGCAATTTTCCTTTTCAGTATGTTCTAGCTGATCATAAACAAGTGCCCAAGCCATTCCCTACAAAGTGGGGCATTCATCTGAGGAAGAGAGGAAGGAAAGAAGTTACCTATGTTGATGGGTGATGGCCTAGAGCAATTTCTGCCAGCTCAGACAGCAGAGATTTTGAAGACCAATGGAACAGGATGGAAATCTGCAGGGAGTCCAGGATGCTCTCAGCAAAGAGCAATACCCAAAATTCAGAACCACGAGCCTGTATCTGCTTTGTGGCCACCACACAGACCCTAATGGATCACAGCTTGGCATGAGTATCACGGAATTGTCCTCCATGAACACTGTGTACCGCTGGCTTTGTCCTTCCATGTGAAGGTACACAGGTCAGCTTTGCTCGCAAAACCACAAAACTGCCGCAGCATAAATTCCCTCCTGCCTCAGGTCCAGCACATTCAGGTTGACCTCATCTGGCGTCTGGCTTTACCCACCGCCTGCTTACAAAGAGCTGGGCAGTCAGGAGGAACTGTGCAGCTCTGAGACTCAGGTTCTTTGCTCACAGAATGAAGATATTTTGGTCAACAAAGGATTGCACAGAAGATGCTGGTCCCATCTGGGTGTGGTGTTGCATGTCTGTAATCCCAAAACTCAGGAGGCCGAGGCAGGAGGATCCCGATGAGATCAAGACCAGTCTGAACCACATAGCAGGACCCTGTCCCAAAAAAACCAAAAGAAAAGAAAATTCACAGAGCCTCCTCTGATAGGTGGTCACTAAACAAGTGAGCAATTCCCCTGCTCTGCTTATCCATAAGAAGTCCTGGACCGGACCAGGGATATAGGTCAGTGGTTCTGCTGCCTCACAAGCATAAAGACCCAAGTTCGATCCCCGGTACCAAAAAAAAAAGAAGTCCTAGACCAAATGGCCATGTAACAACTCACTTCGGATCCCCTCCTGGAAACCTGGGAGCTATTTTTCTTCTCCTTACTTCCAGTAAACATGCTCCTAATGTTAATGTGTACTGGGGTGTCCAAGGATCCCTTCCAGGCTCTTGTCCTGCTCAAAAAATTGGTCAAAGTCAAGGGAAAAACAGAGATGTTTTACATCTATTAAAGATATTAGGGCCGGGGATTTAGCTCAGTGGTTCCGCAGCCTGCCTCGCAAGCCCAAGGACCCAAGTTCGATCTCTGGTACAAAAAAAAAAACAAAAAACAACAACAAAGATATTAGCTTGGTATGATGAACACTCAGGAGGCTGAGGCCTAGAGTCCAAGGCCAGTCTGGGCTCCATAGTGACATCCTGCCTCAAAAAACAAAACAAAACAAAACAAAACAAAACAAAATATACATATATATATGTTAAAGGTAGTAACAGAAGGGAAAAGAAGTATGCTCTGTACAGCACAGGGTGGTGGGCTGGTAAAAAGTCTCACAGTGGCCATGAGCACAGTGGCCACCCTCTTTTATACCACCATTCTGACATCAGATCTAGGTCATCCCACCAAACACCAACTTGATCTCCCCCAGAACTGAAGACATTGCTCTGATCAGTGTCAGGTGCAGGGCTCAGCAGCTCTTTCTATATCTCTTTGACTGAGAGGTCTCTGTGATTTACAGGTCATGCCCAATTGCCTAGCTACTTTGCCATGCCCTAATCTCCTGCCTCACTAACTGCCTCCTTTTGTCCGCAGGTTCTTTTTTATTTTTTTAATTTGTGAGACAATGAACTTGGTTTCTACAGAATTAACGGTGTCAGTGGCACTTAAGAGTCCATTCTGAGAGGCTCCCAGGTTCTGGGACTTAAGAAACTGCAGCAAACAAGTCCTTTGCATCTGACCTGCATATCTATGCCAGTGCTGGGCGCCACACACCTGCACCCACAGGTGACTCTTACCCTTCCCTCTCAGGCACTCAGTCCTCACTCCCTCTCCAACCTGCATTTGCTTGGGGCCAAGAGTGGATTCAGGCTCTACTGGCCTGTCTGAGCCCCTGAAGAAGGCATACGGGGCAGTGACAGTGTCACAGGGCAGACATCCCAGGAGATTTCTAAACCTACCCTACCTATGGAATTCAATTCTGCTGAGTCTTGTTAAAAGAACTTTCAGGATGCATTGGTATGAGGCACACAGGGATTTAAGAGGCAGAAAATTGGGCCAGGGATTTCTCAGCCTGTCTTACAGGTGCATGGTCTCGAGTTTGATCCCTGGTGCAGAAAAAAGGCAGAAATTTGAGGTACACAAATAAGAGTGTAGGCAGAGAGAGAGAGAGAGAGAGAGAGAGAGAGAGAGAGAGAGAGAGAGAGAGAGAGAGAGATTGAGAGAGAGAGAGAGAGAGATTATGAAGCAAAGCTGGGTATATTTACGGGACCTGGAGTGTGTTTAAGATGGGTGATGTGCTATCTGTCAAATCACCCTTCTGGTGGCCATGTCAGAATGTGACCCCTAACCTTAATCCTAAGGATAATATCTGAGCCCTAACCCCTAACCCTAACCTGTGTTTGAAGCTGAGATGTGCCGCCTGCTCATATTGCTGCTGCCCTGAGGGTGGAGTCTGTGGCAGGAAGTGTAATTTACAGGTGGAAACCAGAGCCCCAGAGCCCAGCTCACAGGTTCATTGTGTCATTAAGACCCTTAGGGATTTTTTTTTTTTTTAGTTTCCTGGAAGGAATAAAGGCTGAAATAACTTTTGTGTCCTGAAGCAGCAGTTTTTCTTCAAAGTACAATTTTGAAAGCCAGAGCTTCCTTGTTTCCTTTCCACGTATCTTTATTTCTCCTGTCCTATCTCTATGGGGCAGCTTGGCATTTGGGGCTCTGGGAAGGGGGGAACAAGACAGGAGCCCGATGACAAGGGCTCTGATGGGTGGCAGAAGCTGGGCAGAGGGCTCAGGGTTCTCACCTGGGATGGACAGGGACAGTTGAGGCAACCAGGAACTTGGATGAGAGGAAGCTGATGTCATCGTGCTTGTCTCCAGGAGTCCACACGTGACCTGTGCCTCAGTGACAGGAAGGGTCACTGCTCTTCTAGCAGCAGAGTTCTCTCAGGTGGCTCAGCATTGGTTTTGGAAATCACTATTTCAAATGTGGTCCCACTTTTCATTTCATTTCTTTCTTTCTTTTTTTCTTTTTCGTTTTTTGAGACAGGGTCTCACGATGTAGCTCATGGTAGCCTCAAACTCAGGATGATCCCCTGCCTCAGCCTCCCAAGAGCTGGGATTACAGTCATGGGCCACCATGCCCAGTGGTCCTGCTTTTTGGAGCTCAGCCTGGGCAATTTATTGACTTCACAAGACCCTGTCTCAAGATAAAAGGATAAACAAATAAACAAGACCTGGGGAAAGCCTTGGGTTAAGTTCCCAGTGCCAGTACTAAACAAGTGCACGCACACACACACACACACACACACACACACACACACACACACACACACACACACACACACACACACACACACACAAAGCCTTGTCCTCCTCAGACCTGCTACCAATCCTATAGGTGACCCATTGATGGAGCAGCACACGGGTCACCCCACCATGTTATTCACTGTTTAGTTTTGATAACAATATGTCCCTGTCACTGGCTTCCCCTGTAGTACTATGGGTTTTGTGGTGTGCATTAGAAATGTCTCTGTAGAGCTCCGAAGGGTCCTGGCACGATGAAGGATAAGAATTGTGGAGTAACAAAGAGGTGGGGTGTCCATGTCCAGACCGCAGTGCCCCACCCCCACAACCGTGTGGTGTCCTCACTGCCCCCTCCTGCTGGGAGACACCCCGAACTGCTCCAGGTTTACCACAACAGGCTGGGTGTCACACAACCTCCCTGGTCCTCACCACCTTCCACCCCGACCCTGTAACCTTGCACCAACTGCAGACCCCACCTTCCCGATTCCTGGCATAACTTTGCCAGCACAGCCGACAGCACCTTGAGTGAGGGGGCTCTTCAGGAGCCCTGGGCCACCCCAATGTGTCCCCAAAGCAGATTGCAAGGCTGCGCTGTACTTGGGACGGGGCCATGCCAAGAGGGTCAGGCAGAGCAAGGTGCTGGGGACAGAGGCCAAGAGTGGCACGAGAGTGTGGGTGACTTCTAACCTGTGTGACGCAGAGGGGCTGGAGGCCCTGTCCTGTCCCTCCTGCATCTCCTCCTCTGCCTCTCAAATTGGAGAGGCTGTGGTTCACCCAGGGGCTCTGACTTATCAGATCTTCAGAGATTCCGCAGAATCCTAGTTCCACTAGCAAAAACCTCACAGCTTCTCCCCGAGAACTCGAAGCCAAGATTTCACAGCAGCACAGACAGCAGCCAGGCCTGTGAGCCCCTAGCCGACTCTCCATCTCCAGCAGAGGCAGGGCCATTGAAGGTGTGAATGCTCAGGCCGGGGGAGTGAATTCCAGCTTTTATTTATGTGGCTTGATGGATTCCTGCGCATCCTTTGGGATGAAGTATCCCTGAAAGGTACCTAACAGCCAGATCGTCCTGCCATGCTGTGCTCCAACTTCCAATCCTCCTGCCTCAGCCTCCCTACTAGCTGGGATTACACGTGTGCTTCCACATTGCGGGGCTACTTACTGGGGACTGCTGATGGCAGTGTTCAAAGAGGAGCAGAGTGTGTGGAGAGTCAGGGAGCCGTAGCCCAGCAATCCCTTACCCTGCATCTCCTTTCAGTGCCCCTGCTCTCCTTTGCCTACATGTGGAGGACCCCTAACCGCCCGCGGTGATGGAGCATGGTGTGGAGCGTGGGGAGGCACTGAGAGGCCCCCTGCTTCTTAAACAGCGCACAGTCAGGGATGGTGGCACGTGCCTGACATCTAAGCAACAGGGAGGCTGAGGCAGGAGATCTCTGTGAGTTCGAGGCCAGCCTGGACTACACAGCGAGACTGTCTCAAAACGTCGACAAAAAACAAAGACAAAACAAAACAAACAAAAATAAAGTTGGACCTTCCTGAAGTTTCTCTTCCCCGGTGACTAGAGTGGGGTCTGCGTGTGGGCCCTCGAGGCTCCTGGAACCAAAAAAATCTTGATTCGCAGGACCTGAATGTGAAACCTAAATGCTCTGGAGCTGGAGCTCCACATTGCAGCCCTTGCTAAGTGGCCCTGGGTTTGATGATGGGCACTAAAAAACCCTAAACTTTTGTTTTTCTTGCAATACTAGAGATTGAGCCCAGGCCTTCACAATGAGCTACAGCCCCAGCCCTTTATTTTATTTTGAGGCAGAGTCTTGCAAAGTTACTAAATTGCTCTAACTGCACTCCAGTTTACAATCCTCCTGCCTCAGTCTCCCAGAGTGCTAGGCATATAGACTTGCACCCCGACACCCAGAAGTACACATTTTTAGGCACACTGCTCTCTCTCCGTGATCCCAGGAGTAAGAACCAGGCCCCTCACGCCATCTTCCCAGCCCTGAACTAGGCTTCCAGGGCTCAGGTTCCAACCTGTGGACTGTGAGCCTGTGTCCCTGGTTCTCTTCCCAGCCCACTCAGTCAGGGTTTCGTGGTCTGGACTTGCCAGTGCCACAGAGGCTGTCCAGGGCTGTGTTCCCCTCCCTCATAGCAGAGCCCTAGGCCAGTCTTCAGGAGCTGGGATTTTGAAGAGGACTCTGGCGCCCCCTGCAGGTCAGGTCTCAGGCTCCCCAAAGGGGCGGAGGAGCGCCTTTGAGCTCTTCCACTGAAGGCTGGGTCAGGA